GGGGGGGGGGGGAGAAGAGCCCTGCTCCTATTGTAGATGACCATGTCCTACAGATGAATGTGATTGGCAGTTATCTGGGGGTTGGGAGGGGGGAATTCTGGAAGGTTTAGTTCAAAAAGTAACTTTTCCCACCTCTACAAATCATTGATATATAAAGAACCCTGCAGCACAATTCTCCAGTTAAAAGAAAATGTTCACATTTACCCATCTTCAGACACATACATATCCCAAAGTCATGGCACCTTAAAGACTGTTATATTTGTTTATATTACTGTGCCTACTCCACTTTTCCCAACAGTACAGTCTATTCTGGTTACTTTTTTTTTCACCATTACGTATGTATGGTAAGATAGGTTCAGTTAACTCATGTTTGCTCAAGTGAGAGTTCAGGCTTCACTTTGCTGAGAACCCACTTTTCTACTATTCTGGCTGTCTTTCATATATGTACTGCTCTCCTCTAACACCATATTTCAAATGAACTGATTTTTGTCCCTGTCTTTCCTTCCCGTCTTTCTTTCACATAGTATGGATGTTTTTGATCTTAGTTTCCAGTAACATTCTTTATTAACTCTAACCTCTTCGTGGTTGGTTGGTTGGTCAGCTTCTTATTGAGCCGTACTCTCTTTGTGAGTCTTGAGAACATGGTAGCTGCTTTCCCAATGCATTTATCCAGCTCATCATCTAGTAGGTAGGTAGGTAGGTAGGTAGGTAGGTAGGTAGGTAGGTAGGTAGGTAGGTAGGTAGGTAGGTAGGTAGGTAGGTAGGTATTTCAAAAGACTTTCAAAACATACACACAACATGACCGTAGAGCTTTTGGCCTGATATAGCTTTTCTTCTTCAGCTTGCCTAACAAGGAAAGGGTTTGGAAATTGAAACATAGCTTTCTAGTCTCCATTCTGTGAAGTGGGCATAGCCTCATTGGTTTACCTGAGAGGTTAAAGAGTGTACGTATATGTTTCTCCATTGTATATGTTGGACCTACTCACACCTTTGCTTCACCATTTCATTAAACCCAAAAGAGCCCTTCAAAATATTTTGGCACAGAGAGACTATGGCCACATCTAAGCAATTCTTGCCTCTGTCTTCTCCCGGTAATTACAATACAGCTCATGAGCTCATCTTCTGGAATCCCCCAGCACTTGGTAATTCAATATGAGAGAACTTTCAGTTGGAATTTGTGTATAATATACGTATATTTATATTCCCATTTCTAAAAGCCAGGAAATTCAATCCTTTAAAAAAAAAAAAAAAGCTCCAGTTTAGAATGTGGAATAATGTACTTCTGTACCCACAATTCAAAAAGTCATGAAATGGCCAAATATTGCTGCACAGTATTGTGCCCACATTACCAGCAAAAAAAGGATGCTAAGCTTTACATAGCAAAGGGCAGCATGGGTGTTGACAACACCAACGGCAGCAGTCAAAATGGTCTACAGGATGCCCTCTTAGGCTCACTATGATTCACCCTTGTTAAAAAACAGCCCTGACGTTTGCTTTGTATTTCAGTGAGAAATGATTAACTGATGAAAAAAGGTCAGCTTCCAGGATTTTCTCTTACGTATGTGCTGTCACTCTGTGAATGGTAATGAGCATTCACTGTAGGCCATAGGATCTTAATCTGTGGTCTGCGGACCTCTGGGTGTGTGTGCTGTGATGTATTCATAGAGGGGCCAAAAAGGCTTGAAGGTTATGTTATTTTGCATTTAAATTGAATGAATGAATGAATGAATGAATGAATGAATGAATGAATGAATGAATGAATGAATGAATGAATGAATGAATGAATGAATGAATGAATGAATGAAAAGGAAGCATAAAACAAAATCTTAATTTCCCTTGCTTGTTTGTGTAAAACTTGGCTTTTCAAACCTACCACCTCCACTAAAAATGAACAAAAGTAAAAATCGGTTATGAAAATGACTGATAGCAAGCAACTCTTTGATATTTCTGCACACGGTGAGAACATGCAAGTGAATGACACTGAGAGGCTGAGAGATGGCATGTGACATGTCTTGTTACTGCATGGACAGTCAGAAGCCATGGGAAGAGAGAGTCAGAGTCAGTCAGTATCAGTGTGAGTGAGTGTTTGGATGGGCTTGATTATCATGTTTCTTCTTTGATTTCTGCTAATTGAACTGTTTGGTTATTGTCAGGTAAAGTGACTTTTCAATATTATCGCAGTGAATTTCCTAACAATACATTTCGGCTGAGCCTCAGAATAGATCGCTATCTGAATTTGAAACATTAAAGAATTGGTGCTCTTGATGAAGTTGTATCTTCTGTTCAAAACAAAATGAAGCTTCTTCCACACATCTTAAAAAGCACCACTGTTACAGCAAGGAATATCTGTCGATGAGACCCTTCATGAGGAACTTTACATAAATATTTAATGCACTTTAGGGTTTTCAATCCTGAGTTAAGTCTTGGTGGTCTGCAGTAACAAAAGATATTTAAAGGGGGCCCATGGTAAAGAAAAGGTTAAGAGCTCCTGCTGTAAATAATCTTAATTGCTGCCGTTGGTGTTATCAACACTGAGACTGCCGTTTACTATGTAAAGCTTGGCATCCTTTTTCCTGCTGGCAGTGCAGCCATGATACTGCACAGAAATAGCAGGCCATTTCTTGGGTTTTTGAATCATGGGTACAGAAGCACAATATCTCACAATATCCCATATGTCTTTTATAAAAATTTTTAAAAGGATTTGAATTATTATATGACAAGTAGTAGTGAGTTTCCATGGCCAAATGGGGATTCAAACCTTGTTCTCCAGCATTCTACAGTGGACCCTCAACTTACGGAATTAATCCATATTGGAACGGTGGCTGCAGGTCGAAAAGTCTGTAGGTCGAGGCTCCATTGACCTACAATGCATTGAAAATCGATTAATCCCTAACTGGCTGTTTTTGTTCTATTTTGTCCCCCCCCCCCCCGGTCTGTAGGTAAATACTCCGGCTGCAAGTCGAACCTAAATTTTGCGTCCAGAGAAGTCTGTAACTTGAAAAGTCTGTAAGTTGAGCCGTCTGTAAGTCGAGGGTCCACTGAAGTCTATCCCTCTCTTCACCACACCACATTGGAAATCCCTGTAATCATGTGCTGTAAAGTTGATTCTGACTTATGGCAACCCCTTTTCAGGGTTTTCCGTTAGAGAATACATAGAAGTAATTTACCCTTCCCTTCTTCTGGGGACATCATGGGACTGTGCAGCTTGCCCAAGGTCACACCGGCTGCCTTTTCTCCCAGGAGGCACAGTGGGGAATCGAACTCTCAACCTCTGGATCCATAGCCAAGTTCCTGAATCACTGAGCTATCCAGCCAGATAGCCATAAGGTGACAACAAAAGAACAGGAGGATAGCCCAGGGCTCAGTGGCAGAACATCCTCCTCCTGCAGAAGGTCCCAGGTTCAGTTCTAGCATCTTCAATTTAAGCAGAAGTGGCCATGCGAGAAACTTTTTTTCTAAAATATTTAGGTGGACGAATTTGATAACCGCTGACTCGACATAAAGCGGCTTCCGAGGTTCTTGCGTACACGTGGTATTTCCATGACTCAGCATCGTGGCAATTTCAGATCCTTTCCTTCAAGTTTCTACTCCATTCGAAAAAAGGCTTTAAGGTACCAAAGTCCGACGTAAAGCCACCCCCGTCCCCCGAAAATGCTGAGCGCGCTTCTTCTAAGGTAGAGTTTCAAAGCTCCGTGTGGAACGGTTGGCAAGCAGAAACCGGTTAGATAGATGCAAACAAACTGACCTAATTTCCACAGGGCGTCAAATCAACAAAATGCCGCTTTCCTTGCGCGCAGCGGGAAAGCAGGTGCTTTGATCTGAGTTCAGATTTTGCGCGGCGGGAATTTTGCGCAGCGGGGGCGGGCGGGAATTCCTCGAGAGCGGCCAGAGGGTCAGCCCCTGGGTCCCGATCCCTTGCTTCTCGGGCACCTGCCACCTTTCGGAGCCGCCCGAGGGTGTGTGCCGCCTGCTCTCGCCCAATCCCCCGCCCCCTTGCTTCCTCCGCTTGGCAGCCGGTTTAAATAGGAGCTCCGCGGGGACGGGATGTCACTTCGCCTCCGGGGACAAATAAAAGTAAGGCTGATCCGAGCGTCCCGCCAGATAGCCGAGGTAACCGCTTTCGGGAGCGAGCGCGGAAGGGTGGGTGCCGAGCCAGGATTATTAATAGTGCCACTTGATTACTTCAGGAAAGGTAAATGTGATACCGTCGCCTGAGTCCCTGAGTATCCGACACCGTCGAGAAGCGGGTGAGGTGGGGGGGACGACATGGCTTTCCCGAAATAGAAGAGGCGAGGAGCCTATATAAGTGGGGTGCCCACCCGAGGTGTCCATTTCTTGAGTGAGTACATCTCCCCAATCCATCAAACTTTCGCAGGTCGCCCGGCAAGCCTTCGGCAGGTAAGTTGGGGCGGCCCCTGTCACGGCACCGGGATGGATGGCTCCCCGTTCGTCTATGGCAGGGGTTCGAGCGGGCCCTTCTCTCTCTCTCGCCCGGGGCATCGCCCCCTTTCCCACCCGTACTGGGTCCGTTTGTGGACCAAGACGGGGAGAGATGCCTTACCCCACAATGTAGGAAGGATCCACCGTCTACCGGCTTTCTCATCCCACGGATAAAGCACCCGTGGTGGCGGGAGCTCCTGATCTCTCTCCTCCGCCCCTTCCCTATATAAAGGGATGGCCAGTCCCAGTCGAAGGAAAAAGTCGGGAGCGGGGGGTGGTGGAGGAACGAGGTGCCTTGGGGAACCCTGGGGTTAAGGGAAAGGGAAGGAGAAAACATGGACTGGAACCGGTGGAGGGGGCAACCAGAAAGAGAGACGCCCGGAGGAAGGGCCTGGGCGCGGAGAAAGAGAGGAGGCAAGAGCGGCGAGGCCGGATCACAGGGATGCTCCTGGGTCCAAACACCGGAGAGGAGGAGCTCAAAGCTCCTTTTCAATAAGGAGCTTTTCCATCCAGGTGGCCATCACCTGCTGATTGTACCGGGTAAATCCTTGCCCCCTCATCCCGTCTCAAATTTGGCAAAATTTTGGGACTCCATATCCCAGAAATCCCGGGGCAGCAGGGCCATTTTTCACCCTGGCTGGGGATTCTGGGAGATGTAGTCATTAAAGGGAACTTTACCAAACTCTGCGGCTGCAGAGACTTCGTACTTGGGGAGTGGGTTGCGCCTGCCTAGTCTGGACGTCCTGGTTCCTGGGGCCGAATGTTGTACCTGCCCAGCCCTGGGTTGGCGGCCGTCCCGGAGCGCGCGTGGCCCTTGGCTTCTCCGTTTGGGTTCCTGCCTGCCTGGGACTGGAGCCTTGCTCCCAGATCCATTCGCTTAGAGACTGGCAGTGGGCCGAGGTTTGCAGTCTACTATGGCACCGAACCGTAGACAGGGAAATACTGGTGAAAGGGGGAGTGAGCTTCGGATTTTTGTGGCTTGGTCCAAAGAACGGTCCGGTGGTCTCCAAGGAGGGGCTGGAGATGCAGGCCTGGGATGTTCGGGCAGTGGTACCTGGAACAGTCGCTCCGGAGTCTCAGAAGTCGGAGAGGCGCACGCCTTCCCTTCCCGCTTTGCAAAGCTAAGAGGTGCATTTCGGTGCTTACGAAATACCGGCCGGAGAAGCAGCGGTGTCATCCTGTCAATTCTCACCAGTTTTCTCCCCGAACGTTACCTATTGCACGACCTGACAGAGGTCGGGTCCCTTTCATCAAACGATTGAAGGGCTAAACCTCTAAGGAGAAGGACCAAAACGTTTCCATGGTTTATATCTTCAGGAAGTGCTGCTCTTATTCTCTGGCACTTGTTTTCTTTGACTATTCTGAAGACAACTCTCTTCTCTGAAGAGTTCTGTTGAGCTCTAAAGCTTGGGGTCTCAGCTTTGCCAACACAGTTGACTTAATTATCATGCACTTGCTTCTGGAGACACAAAGGGGAGCAGAGATTTGATTGATGCTTGCATTTCTGACCCCTTCTACTTCTAATTTCCCCTTTTGTGCATTAACTCTTTCCTAGAGACCAGGTGAGGAGAAAAGAACCAGGTACCCATCTTGGTGTTCTGACATCACCTTCTAGGCTAGGTATTACATGAGGAACAGCCTGGGCCAGGGTTGTTGACAGTGGCAGACTTAGGTAATTTTAGACACTGGACATCATGATTTTACAGGGTCTCTCCAGACAAGGCAGTCTCATGGAACATCTTTGTAAATGAGTATTGCTTCTTTTACTTTCATTGGTCTTAACCTAAGCCCTGTTGGATGGCGATGTCAAATAAGCCTTCCTGGCTAGTGGTGGGTGCTGAGTGGGTGCCTGGCTTTCTGCTGGTTTGGGGCATGGAAAACTCTGGCCACTTGACTTGAGGATGGGCTAAAAAGCAGTATCCAAGTTTGCTCCTTCAGCAAAGTGTAGTGGGGTGGAGGGAAGAGCAGCAAACCAGAGCATCTTTGCTTCTGGCACTTGGTCAAGAACAGATTTGATGCACTGCGACCCGAGATGTCTTGAGTCCAGGGGGTTGCTGAGTAAGGCCTGGGTGAATAGGGGTAGTGAGTATCGGGTGTGTAGAAGAGAGGAACAGGTGGTGGTACTGCACCAGTCTTCTATACCCACACACAGAGAAACGTTTTCTGCTCTCCCTCCCGCCCTTTCTCTTTGGAAAGGCAAGATTTATATTCAGATTTTTAGAACTGAGGATACTTTTGAGCTGAAAAGCATAAGGTAGACCCAGATTTATGTGTTTTAGCACAATTAAGTAGAAGAAAAGGCACCAGAAATGTGTTGGCTGATTTTAAACCCAAAAGCATGTATGGATATATGTATGTATTTCTTCATTCCTTTTGCGTTGTGCCTCCTCTTTAGTGAGTTCAAGGCAGCATAGATGCCTCTCTCTCTCTCTCTCTCTCTCTCCTTCTCACTTTCTCAAAGCAACCCTGTAAGGTAGGTCAGTCAGAAGGAAGAGGAACTGGCTCACAGTTACCTGGTGAAATTCCATGGGGCGATGAGCCTGGATTTCTTAAGTCTCAGTCAAACACTGTAACCACTATGCAACACTACCAGTTCCTGCCCCACACTTTACTTCTTCACAGGATCTCCTGTGCCCCCAGGCATTTTTTTGATACTGAAATATGAAAGGGAGAGAAAAGCATTGGGAAGGGAAAGAAAGGATTCAGAGAAATGAGCCACTGTGTGTGTGTGCGTGTGTGTGTGTGTGTGTGTGTGATTGTGATTGTGATTGTGATTGTGTGTGTGATCTTCCCTGCAGAGGCTGCCCCGTCAGCTGTCAAAATCTCACTGCCATCACCTCAGGTGATTGGGAAGATTTGGGTTTCAGTTTCTTTAGTGGTCAATTTTTCTGCTGGGTCAGAAATTCTGTGATCATTGAAATGGTTGTGTTCTCCCACCTCAGAATAGGGAATTGTGGCCCTCTGGACTATAAAGCCCATCGTGCATTGTACTTTATTAGCTAGGAAGATTTGGGCAGATGGGAACTGGAGTCAAATGAGCTCTGTAGTGCCACAGGTTCCCCAGTCCTGTTGTTGTTATCATATGTCATCACGTCCCCTCCGATTTATGGTGACCCTATGAATGAGCAATCTCTAAAATGTCCGCTCCTCAACAGCCCTGCTCAGCTCTTCCAAACTCAAGCTTGTGGTTTCCTTTAGGGAGCCAATCCTTCTCATGTTTGGTCATCCTCTTCTCCTGCTGCCTTCCACCTTTCGCAGCATTATTTTCTTCTCAAGAGAATACTGTCTTCTCATGACATGCTCAAAGCAGAAAAGCCTCAGCTTCAACATTTTTTACTGCAGAGATCATTCAGGCTTCATTTAACCCGAATACTGTCTTCTCATGACATGCTCAAAGTAGAAAAGCCTCAGCGTCAACATTTTTTACTGCATTCAGGCTTCATTTAACCTAAGACCCACTTGCTCATCTTTCTGGCAGTCCAGGGTATCCACAAAGCTTTCCTCCAGCAATATATTTCAAATGAATCCATTTTTCCCCTGTCAACCTTCTTCACTGTCCAGCTTTCACACCCATAAATGGTAATCAGAAATACAGGAGTGTGGATGATCTTGGTCACCTCCAGGGACACATCCTTGCAGCTCTGGCCTACATCAATGAAAGACATCAAGAGTCTCCTATTTTCATGATGTTTCTTGTCTTGATTCAGAGAGCAGGACATTTCTCAAGAGCACGAAAGGTCTCTAGACTCTTTTGTATGGCTTCAGAGGAGTCTCCCAGAAGCTCTTTGTCTGCTTGTTCTTCTGGCTTAGATGCTTCAACAAGTGTTTTCCAATACAATCCCAGGTGCACACAGCATGCTTTTGAACTATCATTCTACTTTTTCAGGCTGTAGATTTCAGCCACAGGGGAAGTCTGGCTAAAGCCAGGATCAGCTTTCCTTTTCTTTGATTTCATTCAGAAAGGAAAATGGGGTGTCTTGCATGAAACTCTGCAATAGCCTCTGCTCCCATTTTCTTTCGAGTTCTACTGCCCCCCTCGGTGTTCCTTTGGCTTCCACTGATCTCAAATCACTGCAACCCCTTCTGCTGCATTTTTCATGGAAGCTGCAAAACAAATAAGGCTCTGGTTCCACAAGGATTGATTTCAGAGTGCTGGGAAATTGCTTCTGCATCTGATGATAGCCTTTCCAAGACTTTGCCTGATTTAGAGCTCAGTCTTGCTCAACTGCCAAAAAAAGAGAAAAAAGCTTGATAGCAGCTTCTCCCATCTGGCCTTGCACTTACCCATAAGCATGCATAAGCATTCAGAGTTTGGAAATATTCTTCTTTTTGGGGGAGTAGATTTCCAGGATTGCCCACTGGCCATGCTGGCCATGCTGGCTGGGGAATGCTGGGAACTGTAGTCTGAAAAAGCAACTTCTCCAAGGTCTGTAGATGGGGGAGTTCTAAGACAGCTTGGTCCACAGGCAGCGTATTGTGCCCTATTGCAAAGGGGTGGGGAGTCAAAGGGAACATAAAGAGCATCCCTCCTTCTCAGATAACCTACTAAGGGTGTAAGATTAACCGGATTTTTTTTTTGTCTTGAGTGACTTGATCACCTTAAAGTAGGTCAAATCAGCAGAAAATGAATCCAAACCATTCTGTTTAAAATGGGATGTAAATGAGTCTGTTGCTGAAAACTACAGATGGGTTGGAAGAGAGAAACCCACTTAAGAAGGCAGTATTGGGTAGTGGTTAGAGCAGTCAATGGCAGCCCTTGACCATCCAGACATTTTGGAGTATAACTCTCATAGTCCTTTACCACTGGCTATACTGGGTGTGGCAGATGGGTGTTGAACCAATAAATGTTTCTCACCCAGATACCTCACAGGATTATTGCAAAGTTGGGGAAAGACCCATATCCTGTCTTGAATTCCTCAGAGGAGAGAACAGTTGAAAATACTAAATGGACATAACAGGATATCAAAGACCAACTGGATAAAGCTACACATTAAAAATGGGTACCTGGCAAAGAGCATGTTGTATAGATTTTATATATAAAATATGAGAAACCTTGAAACTACAATGCAGGCATTGGGATGCTTTAAAATTTAAAAAGAACATTGAGAACATATCAGGAATCCAGTGAAAGGAAGAGATTTGACAAGATGCCACCAGCTCTGTATTGCAAGGATAAGGAATGTGCAGCCTTCTGATAGCATTGGACTACAAACTCCATCAGCTCTATCTGGGAAAGCTAAGGGTGAGGAATCATAGGGACTGCAATCTAACGAGATCTGGAAGGCCACATCTTCCATGTCTTTGTTACAGACAAACCCTATAGAAAGGACAAAGGAGTACTGTTGCTCCATAGGACAGAGAGTTTAATGAACAAAAGCAAAAAAAGCACCACCACAGGGTCCAGACATCTCTATCTACCACTCTGTCTATGTTTCTCAAGTTCACCTCTTTGGACTGGTTTTCTTCCCATCAGCCTCTTCTTTTAGTTGCTTACCACTTTGTGAATGCCATTGCCAACATTTTTTTCAAAATTAAAAAAAAAACCTTTTGAAAGGGGAGGTCACAGGAATGGGCGCAGGGACTGAAGATGAGCATGTATGCCCTGCAGATCTCTGGAGATTGCCTACCCCAATGTTAGAACATAATGCTGCAACCCTGTAACCACATAGCTAGGATTAAACCTCATTGGACTCCATGGCACATATTTTTGAAAAAAGTAGCATAGGGTTTTAGTCCTGGAGCTGACTCCAGGCAAGGCGTTCTTAAATGAAATACAGAGCAGTGCCAGAAAGCTGGTACAGGAATGATTGACACCAAGAATACAACATATATGCTTTGGTAGTAAGTTTCCAATGAAGTACAATATTCTCCAACTTAATTTCAAAAGGAGAAACTTCTACCAGAAACAACAACATAGCTTCAAGAAGAAGAAAGAAGGGAAGTAAGGTCATTTCTTGGTTACTGTAACAATTAAAATAGCTTATTCCAAATCGATGGCAAAGATTGGGAATGGTATAAACAAGCCAAGAGTATTAAGCAAAAAAAGGGTAAAGGAAGGTCTAAAAAGCAAGAAAAACTTCACAGTATGGATCTCTTGATCAGACGGAGGGAACAAAATGCGTAGATATAGATTCACAGCATGAAGGCAGTTGAAGAGGAAAAGGAAAAAGAAGAGGAGGAAAAAAACTGAAATGTTGACAAGATGTTGCCATCGATGGACTAGTAAGGCTTCAATGTTTTGAAAACTCAGCTTTAGCTCAAAGAGGACCAGTGTTTTCATTTTTAACTACAGATTTTTAATTGGTGGCAGTGTTACTGTTGTGAACTAGCTTAGGTCAGGCTGAGACCCATCTTTGAAGATGAGTGATGTGACCTCTCAGATGTACTGGATTAAATCTCCCATCACTCATACTTAATGTGGCTGACTGTGTAAGGCTAGTGTGGTAGGACTCTGTATAATAACTCATCTGTGTTATTAAATTCTAAGAAGAAACCAAAAATTAGCCAGGGACTGGGTCTGAATGGTATAAACTTGAATGATAAAAAAAGCTTCAGTATGAAGCTGTTGGTCCTCTAAGAAAATACTGTATGCAACATCCCACCAAACTGGCTTCCTTTCTTCAGAACTAGAAAACATTCACTGTGGTGCCAATGGTTTAAAGGGGGATGGAGAGAATTACATCCAGTTCTGCCTGCCAGATTTCCCTCATATCTCAGTAGCAAAAGCAATATTAAATATGTAACTATTAATCCTAAAATATTAAACCTTAAGCTGACATGGGCTGTTGGCTTTTTTATTTTTATCTTTATATTTTTTAATATTGTTTTTTTCCCTTTGGGTTTTGCCTGAAAAGTTTGCACAGACTAAGAAGGCTACCTCTTCAAATTCTATTCAACCTATGGAGGAACAAGCTTGCAGGGGAAGAGGTGGTGTGGCAGTCCCACCAGTCTTTTAGAATTCTTTGAGAGTGCCCTATAGAAAGTGGTACTTTAGCAGGCATATATTTGTGCTTCTAGCAAATTCCTCCATCAAAGATTCCTGAGTAAATTGGCAATCCTGGACAAAGAGGACAGATCCTTTTGTAGATTAGTAATTAGAAAACAGGAATCAAAGAAGTAAACAGGCAGTTTCTAATGGGGGGAGAAATGGGGAAACACAATTATATGTAATGAAAGACAGAAGTGCCATTTAGTCTGTTTCTGGATACTATGAAACTGGCTGGATATTTCAGTGGTTTAGGAGGTGGGAGTTTGATTCCTCATGGCGAATCCTCTGAGTAGATATTCAGGAAACAAAAATAACAAATTAGTTTCAGTGTTAGCAAATATTAAGAGATGCACAATGAGGCAATAGCCCTTTCCTTCCCACAACCCCTAACTTAAGCACTGGCTGTAAATTGGACAGGAAGATGGTCTTGGTGTTGTGGCATATAACCTTGATGAATGCACAATTAGCTGTAGAGCTTAAGGAAGGAAGGAAGGAAGGAAGGAAGGAAGGAAGGAAGGAAGGAAGGAAGGAAGGAAGGAAGGGGACTAAATCAGAAGGGAAGAGAAGTGAAAAACTTGGAAGAATGAAGTCGAAGGAAGGAAGGAAGGAAGGAAAGTGAAAAACTTGGAAGAATGAAGTTTGAATTATTAGGAAGGGATTGAAATCAAATGTCAGTTTTATATGGTGCTTTTGGAATAATGTAGGCTTCCAATCTCTAAAAAAAAGATATCTCGCAACAGACCTTGAGGTGTTTTGGACTGAGAGTCCCCTCAGTCCTAACTAGCACAACTGCAACCAGGAATTGTGAGGGATATGGTCCAAGATATCAGGGTGGTGTACCAGGTTGTCCTTAGAGCTTTGAAAGATACAGAAAAGTTGGCTATAATAGTCAAGGGGTCTCATTGCTTTCTTCTCTATTTTCTCTGTTAGGAAAGGCTCAGCTATTTGGGGGAGAGGACTGGTTTGGGAAGAAAAATATGTCAAAAGAATGGTGCATATTCATTAAATTAAAATCATTAAATGTTAAAATTAGGAATGAAGAGGAGTAAGCAGGCAGAGGGAATTTTTTCGCTTTCTGTCAAATTAGCACTTGGTGTGACTCAATGAAAGTGAGTTGCAGAACAATGCATGGGTGTTTGGTGCTTAATCACTTTATAAACACAGCAGATCCTCTGCTGTATTCATTCAGTCAGAGTTGTGGAATGTGTAGCCTTCCAGATGTCCTAAAACTCATGGGAAGGTCGTAGCTCAGTGGCAGAGCTTTGCATGGAGAAGGCCGCAGATTTAATCCTCAGTGTCTCCTAACAGGGCTAGGAAAGACTCCTGCCTGAAGTCCTGGACAGCTACTGTCCGAACAAGACTGGGCTAGATGGGCAGAGGCCACACTCGGTGCAGGACCCCTCTTATGTCTCCAGCTCCACTCACACCTATTACTGGCTGTGATGGGTGTAACTGATTTGAGTTGGAGTCCACAAGCAGCTGGGACCTAGGAGTTCCCACCTCAACATCAAGGAGTATTCACAGAGCCAGCAGTGGTTTTGCAGAGGGAGGTGCCTCAAATCTAAAGGTGCTCCATTGTAAATCCTACCCAGCTAACTAGGCATAGGACTGCAGCTTGGTTTGCCACCTGGATTGCAGCTTTGATCACAGAAGATGGTGTAGGAGTCCTCTTGGTTTTCTTGCTTGGCGTTTGCTCTAAGGCCATGAAAGGTTTTACTTGCAGGTTGAAAGGTATGCAGTACCCAACTGTAAAATAAAAACTGCCAATCACTGTACTTAAGAACAGCTATACCCGCAGAAATCCATTGTTCTGTAGGCCTAGCAAATCAGGTCTCTCCCCATCCCAGTGGGGGACTTCTAGACCTGTATTTGAATCCTACCCTGGGTGACCCAGTCAAGATCTGGGCTGTAACCTCACTCAGAGCAGAGTCTTAGGTGCCCTGTTCAGAGCTTCTTGGAGGAAGGGTGGGAAGGGCAGATTAATAAAATGCTGGATCATTCCAAAATTGAAAATAAGTCCCCTGCTTTCTCCTGCTGCACCCTTCTGTGGGACACTGGCCCGGACAGCTTGACCTTAACATGACCCTCCTCCTCTTCCCCATTTCCTTCCGCCCCACCCCATCCCAAGAACAAACCCACAAAGCACCCACCCCCGCGCCTTCCAGCCACAACCATTATTCGTTGAGTTCACTTTGTCCACTTTTGTCAATGGGGGCGCCTAGTTGCCGACCAGACACGCACACCTCGGGAGCCTCTTAGTGTGTGCGGGCTGGCGCAGCTCCAGGCGCTCCCGCGGTGTGCCATCCTGTCCCCGCCCGGCACTGCAGCTTTGGTCATATGAGCAGAAGTGAGGAGAAGAAGGGCACTTTCCACCCCACCCCCCTCCTCCCTCCTCGGTCGCCTCCTCCTCCTCTTCCTCCTTAAATCTGATCCCCCCACTTCGCCTCCGGCTCCTTTTTCTTTCTCTTTCCTTCTCCCAACAGTTCCCAGGATGGCGATGACTGACGTGCTGAGCGCTGAGGACATCAAGAAGGCGGTGGGAGCCTTTGCAGGTGAGCCCGCGGGGGGGGGGAGGGCGGAAAGGGGGAGCCGGTCTTTTCCTGCCTTCCTGGTTTGCACCGGCATGGAAGGGTGAGTCGGGGCTGGACTTGGTAAAAGTCGGAGTCAGGAAAACTGAGGTGGAGGTTGCGGCGGGGGGAGAGACGGAGGAAAAGCTGGCGGGCGGGCTGAGAGGATGGAGGCTAGGGGAGAGGGGGGAGAGAGAGAAAGACCCCGAGGTGCAGGCAGGAAGGGTGGCGGGCCGGAGAGGGTCAAGCAAGCAGGCCAAGTCTCGGGTCGGATCCTCCGCTAACTTCCTTCGGGCTCATTGCTGGCAAGCAGGGCTAAAGCGCTCCCGTCCTTTCCCGGCGGCGAACCAGGGAAACCCACTGCAGGTAGATTCTGCGCCGCAGGTAGCATGGGAGTGCCCCTATTTTACCAGCCCCAAGCATGGCACAGAAAACCACCCATCCCAAGCCTAGGCACCCTCCTCTTCCTCCTCCTCGCATCGTCAGGGCTTGAAGCAGATGGCGCTTCTCCCTTGCCCACCTTTCCAAGGACTGGCATCTGAGGATGCAGAAGTTTGTGCCTGTCCGCGTGAAGAAATCAGTGGGGTTTCGTTAAGGGATGGGGTGAGGGTTTGCAGAAGCAGGTCTGGGGACAGCCCCGGTCCCACTTCCTCTGCCTATCTATTCCCTTTTCTTTCTTCTGCCTTGCTGTTTTCAGCATGCAGTGGTCAGCTGTCGCTCCGGGACTCTGGGGCAGTTTGGAGCTGACTTGGGGAGATCGGACGAGTTGCCCACGCCCCTCTCCAAACGCATCCAGCTCCCGGATCCGGTCGTCCCAAGAGGGAGGTGGCCGGTGGGCAGGCCGCTCAGGGGCTTCCGGGAACTCTCCTCCAACATTTATTTTATTTTGTTGTATTTATTACACTTATATCCCGCTTGGCGCTAAAGAGAGAACCCGAGGCCACTCACAAAAGTTCAGAAAAGTAAAAGCAAATGTAATTATAAAATCTTAAAGGCAAGAAAAACCAACCCGAATGTCAAAACCATTAGAAGAAGAAGAAGAAGAAGAAGAAGAAGAAGAAGAAGAAGAAGAAGAAGAAGAAGAAGAAGAAGAAGAAGAAGAAGAAGAAGAAGAAGAAGAAGAAGAAGAAGAAGAAGAAGAAGAAACTTTTCTAATCTCTGAGTCAGATGCAAATGGCGGGGAAGGTGTCCTGTCCCTTTCAGAGCAATGCTAAAATTGGCATTTCATCATCTGGTTTTGTCCTGCCAGCGACACCGGCTGAAAGCCAACCTTCTGCACCAACTATGTAAGGAGCAGGACCCTTGCCCTCTTTTCCTCTTGGACACTCTTCCATCATCCTCCCCTAATGCGGCGTCTTCCAGATGTTGCCGGTCCGCAACTCCCATTACACGGCTGGCTGGGGCTCATGGGACCTGTGGTGGAGCTCAGCGAAAGATGCGCCAGGTTGGGGAGGCTGCAGAGGCGCCCGGTCCCGGTTGCCCGCTTGGAGGCGCCTACCTTCTCCGTACCTTGGGCAAAAGGGACCCGTCCAGGGATCTCTTTAGCCCCCAAGTGACTACATGGCATATCGAATCCAACCCCCTGCTTGAGCACAGAAATTGCCCTGTGAAATCTCGATCACAAGCAGGCGCGATCCACTTTCTCGACTGCAGCAGGCGCTTCGCCCAGCTTCGAGGAATCGCCGCCAACCTGCCTGTTTCTCCCTAGGATCCCTTTTGCAGAGCAGCCTGCCCATCTCTTCCCGCTTTGGACCCTCCAGCAGACCTGCTACACCCGCCCCCTCTCCCCTGCTCACATCCTCGCATCCCGGCGGTCGAGGCCCATTCCTCCCAACCCCGCCTCTCCTCCTTGCTCCAGCGGTGACCTTGCCGAGCGCCCAGCCGAGGCCCTCAGGAAACCCGGCGCAGGAGCTGCCGCGGTGGACCAAGAAGACCCGAGGGCGAAACGAATCCGCCCTTAAGAAACTGCTTTATTTCAGTCGCGGGCTCTCGCCTCGTCCTCCTTCCTCCGGCTCGGCGAGCAATTAGTCGTCCAGGCGGGACGTGGGGAGGAAGCAGACCCGCTTCCTCCAGGAACGGATTAATTCTGCGCGCTGATTCCGCCTCCCTCCTTTTCTCTCCGTCCATGGACCATTCCTGGATCCGCCCTGCGTGCGGCGGTGGGGACCAGCGACCGCCGGGAGAAAGAGCGTCTGCTGCCTAGTCGGGGCACTCGTTAGAGGTCACAACCACGCAAACGTCATTAATTGGAACTGATTAATTGGAACAAACAAACAAATTTCAGACGCATTTAAACCTCTAAAGTCCTCCGCTCCATGTCCTTTTCCCTGTTCTTTTCCAAAAGAAGCTCTCTTTGGGTGATGATCGCCAATAATATATTTAGCCAGATGCGCCCCGCAGACACCCCCCCCCCAAAAAAAACAGCCTTGGGAGAGGTCCCTACATCTCGCTGTAAGACCTGCAGCTGTTTTTGGCCCTTTCTGTTCTGTCCTCTTCCTAGCTTGCCCTTTTGCTTAGGACCAGGGTTGCCCAGCTCAGCCCTTCCAGTAGCCCTAGACTATCACTCCCATCATCCTCAGCCAGCACAGCCATGATATTAGGTATACAGGGCAGCACCTTGGAGACAAGTTGATTTAGGGAGTCAACAACTTGCTATTTCAAAATATTGACTTTAACACAACTGCAGCAAAGAGGTGCTATATCTCTGTGTCTCTCCTCCAAATGATGTTACGCTCTTGGACCACCAAGATGATTCTGAGTTACAGTGACCCTTGCTTGACTGGTGTTAACATTTTGTTTTCAGCTCTAGGATACCATATGCCTGCATATTTGGGAAAGGCAGAGCATTAATAACGCCTAGTTTTGCCCTCTGCTCAAAAATGTTAATAGCCCAGCTATTGCTTGTTTATGTCCGAGTCATATAGACAGTTGTGGGATAATCACAGTTTGCAAAGGAAAATAATTAACCACCTTACATCTGGTTGTTTGGCTTCTTGGTTAGATGATACACTGAGGCTAGGAAGCCATCCAAATATTTGTTGAACTATAAATTTCATCTCACTTCACCCTTGAATATATCTGCCAGACTGATGAGATTTGTAGTCTAACAATGTCTGGAAGGTCGCACCTTCCCCATGTCTGCCCTGTAGGGTGGCCAGGAGACACAGAATATGGCAATTTTGCAAAAAAGCAATAATAGGAAACTTGTAGGCATTCATATAGAGCTTCCAGAACCCCTTATTGGCTATCGTAGCTAAGGCTTTTGATGATTTGTGCTGTCTGTTATACAGAAGTTGATAAGAGGACTGGGTAGGTAGATGGGTGTTCTTTCTGCAGTGGTCATGTTAGCTGGGAGATTCTAGGAGATATAACATTCCAAACGCTTGTGATCATTTAATCACACACACAAGACATCATCTGATATTGTTATCTTAATCAAAGAAAGAGCCAGTCCAGTCCTACTGTAAGGCAGAGTGAGGAAGCTTTCTCCAGCAATAGCTATTATGAGGGGAAGGGAGTGACAGCAAGGAGTAAGATGACTTAGCTATAACTACCATGTGACCTGTTCTCTGTCTTCTAAGCTAGTCTGCTGGCCTCATATATGGTGAAGATGCTGTCCCGTCACCAGTGCAGAAGAACAGAGCTTACTAAAGTTACTTTTTTGGGATTACAGTGCCTAGCACTGCTGGTCAGGGTGGCCAGTGATCATATTGGCTTGTGATTTATGGTAGCTGAAGTCGCAAAAAAGAGAGATTTTTTTCAAGCTGTGAATTAGAACTCCCAGTCCAGTCTGGTTCTGTTAATAGAATGGAGGGAGTGGCAGCAAAATGTCTTGGTCCATTCCTGGGAATTGGCATGTATCAAAACCAGCCCTACAGCTTCTGCATTGTTGAATGCAGATGGATCCTGGTGCTATCTTACAGGGGGAGAAAGTTGCAAATGTGCCTTGGTAACAGCTGTAAACAGAGGTAATGGCTGCTCAATTCTTCATCTTCCTACAGCTGTGGACTCTTTTAATCACAAGAAGTTCTTTGAGCTGGCGGGGTTGAAAAAGAAGTCCCATGAAGAAGTGAAGAAAGTTTTCCAAATTCTGGACAAAGATCAAAGTGGCTTTATTGAGGAGGACGAACTAAAGTAAGCAAAGATGGGCCTTCCTCTCACCTTGCATACCAGATGAAAGATGGGTGGTACTCATAATGTGTGGGATACCCAGTGTGGTACAGTGAATAGAGTGATGGTCTAGGACTCAGAAGGCCTGGGTTCAAATCTCTGCTCAGGCACGGAACCTCACTGGGGATGCAGAACTGGCAAAACTACTCCTAAAATATGTCACTAACCTTGAAAACCCCATTAGGGTTGCAAACTTGAAAATGCATAACAATAACAACATAATGTGGATCATTATGTACAACACAAGCTAATCTTACATGTGGCTGCAGCTGGCCATTATAAAGTGGCCACAGGTGGAATCCAGTGTATGCAGAATTCCTAAGTTACTATCTTTTGATTGATGCCCAGTTCTTGGAAGTAATGAATGATTATATTGGTTATGATGATTTCTTGAAAAAGCATAACAAAGTTACACTTCAAAAGTATTATAGCATGTGGAAAGGAAATTATTTTATTTCCATAAGGAGAAACATTTAGTTACCCTAAACATATTTTTAAAAGGGCATTTGACAGGAATTTTTCCTAAAGGATTCTATTTTCAAGCAGAGGGGTTAAAAAGCTATTGCCAGAATTGAACTGGTATAGATATAAGGTTTATGCAACTTGCTGTGGCTAATTGATGAGGTGCTGGAAGAGGTGTCTGAGCCACATGACTGAATCATAACTGTGATGCATCCCAGCACCTTGTCAACTAGCCACAATTAACTGCAGCAAGTTATGCAAACTTTACACAATCACTTATAGGATGCTGGGCACTGTGAAACGTGACTTACTTGTTGAAACCATTACAAGGAGTAAGTACAATGAACCAGTATAAAATCCAGGTGCAGAGTTCATGATTTGCTTGTTTTCAGTGGAGAAATATAGCCAATGCAATATTCAAGTGCAAGATCTCCGCTAAAGATGTTGTGATTTTCAGTTTGGACCTCTAGATAGATATACTGTGGGCACGGGAAAGTAGATAGCCCACAGTGACATCAAAGTTTCTTTATCTAAGCCAAATATATGAATCAGGCCTTGTCCACTGCTTAGTGGGAAGATACATGAAAAGAGTCATCCCAAGGGTGTCTGCAAAAATTTTTCCGGGCAAGGAATGTGTTAAGTTAAAATAAGTCAACATTGCTGTTCATCTGTGGACATCAAAATGGTAAATAAACATAGGATCCTGGCAGGAAGGAGAATACCCTTTCCCTCCATAGATACTTGCAGGATATCCCTCTGTGCCTTTGTCCTTATATAACGTCTTTCCCAGCTATACCAGAGCCATTAGAGGGAGGAGAACCATCCACATGCATCTTCCTCTTCCTATTGGTCATGCTCTTTCCAGCCTTCCAAACAGATCTGGTCACTGGTTGCGCTGTCAAACTGCTTTGACTGCCAAGTCCTTGTCCCACTTCCATGAACAGGGTAGATCTAGAAGCAAATGAGTTCTTGTACCTTAATAAATTGTGTAGAAAAATGAACAGTGCCTTGTGTAACAAACAATACCTCCTAAAATTCCCCTTTGTATTAAAATTAAAACTCAAGAACTCCCTGTCCTCTTTTTTTGATTCAACCATCCAATTTGTAGGATAGCCCGTGGCTATTTGAAGAAGTGTTACAATGGCTACCATATGCCTTCTATTAATACACACCACACACACCTAAATGCAGACAGACTAAGATTTCAGCGCAGTGCTGCACATGTCTACTCTGAATTAGGTGCCACTAAGTTTAATAAAATTTACTTCCAGAGATGTATTGGCACGGAAGTGAACTTCTAATTCAAAGGTACTCTGGCTTTATGGAGAACAGAGTGAAGTACGGTCCTCATCTGCTGCCAGAAACAATTTCCTACCAGCAAACTCAGTTCTGTCAGTTGATCTCAGAAATCTGCCAACAGAGGAATCTGATGGCAGAACTGCTCTGCTGGGCATGATCCAGTAGAAAACAGCCAGTGTGAGTATGTGTGTGAGGAAGGGTGGAGGTGTGAGGAGAACAGTTTTCCAGCATCTCCTCCAGATGCCACCTCTTTGTGCCAAGACCATCTCTGAAACACTGATGGTGGAGTGGCAAAGATTCCTGCACCAGCAAGGGAGAGGAATATGATGACAGACCTCTCTCTGTGTCCAAGGATCACCCTCTCCATATTCTGAAAGAGTAATCCATATCAGAGATGTTGGCAGGTCTTTGAGTCCAGGTTCCAATTCTAAGTCTGAGTCTTTGGTACCAAGTATTGAGCCCCAAGCCTCTTTTAAAAACAAGCTTTTTTCCACACAAACAAAGAGGGAAAGTTGGTGGATTCAGAGTCAAGTCCAAATCACTGGGGGGAAAATACTGAGTTGAGTCTGAGTCATGTCACCGGTGTGACTTAAGTCTGGCTTTGACAGCAAGTCCTGCAACTTGAGTCCCCAACCAGATTCATACTATCTTGTGAGCCTTGGGTCCATGGGATTACAGCCTAAACTCATCTGAATATCATTTAATATTATTTTTAAAAAACCCACATGTAAGTGCAGAGTGCCCATTAGTGTTGAACTGTCTTCTTATAATGGGTTTGAATGTTGCCTGCACATTTGTTTCTTTGTGTTTCAATGAATAATGAATTTTTCAAGGAAGAGAGTCTGGAATAACCCTGAGAGAATCTTGCAGCAGCATACCCCCTAGCCCATTATTCTGTAATGGCTGGGCCAAGAAAGACAGTGCTTGACGGGAGCAATATTCTCAAAATAAAGAACAAAGTGGGGTGGAAAGAATCTGTAACATTGCTTGAAATAACTGCTAAAGCATCTGAAATGGAGCTCTCCCTAGTGAGCTTCTCTTCTACCTGAAGCGGCTTCGTGTGACAATTTCTTCTCTTTTTGTGACATTAAGAAGGTCACCCTCACCAGCAAGAACAGAACCAACTGTTCCTCCCCATCTTAGTCTGTAAAGCTTGAGCTCAATAACAGCCACTTGAGAATGAATAAATAGAAGCTCTCTCTAGACAATACTGAAAGAAGACCCTGAGATGCAGGAGATGATAAGGCTCCTACACCTTTAATAGTTCTGTGCAAAAAGGAAATCTCATCAAGTGTAAGTCATGCATGGTATGCTGGCTGAAATTCCTCATAGCGTTCAACTATTGAAGGTGCAAAAGCCCTGTCCTCCATTTGGGAATGAGCAAACTGCAGCCCTCCAGATCTTGCTGGATTGCATCTCCCAGCATCTCTCAACATAGGCTTTACTGGCAGATGCAGAGGTTGAACTGTAGTCTCAAAACATCTGGATGGAGAATCAGTGCAGGGAAAGCGCCCCAGAGGGAGACCACAGCTGCAATTCAAGGATATCTGCAAGCGGGATCTGAAAGCCTTAGGAATGGACCTCAACAGCTAGAAAACAATGACATCTGAGCATTTGGCCTGGAGGCAGGCAGTGCATCATGGCCTCTCCCAATTTGAAGAGACACTCGTTCAGCAGGCCAAAGCAAAGAGGCAGTCCCAAAAGCAACATAATCAGGAAGCTGGAGAGGGGACAGATTGTATTTGTCTTCAGTGTGGAAGGGATGGTCACTCTCGAATTGGCCTTCTCAGCCACACTAGATGCTGTTCCAAGACCTCTATTCAGAGCACCTTACCATAGTCTCTCAAGACTGAAGGATGCCTACTAGTAGAGGGGTAAAACCTGGTCTCCCATGTCCCAGTTATGCACCATATTATATCAGCTTGTTTTTATTTTTTTATCTGAATAACATTCGTTTATGCTGTTTTAATTGTTTTGTAAACTACTTTGAATGCCTTTGCACTCAACAATAGAAATAATACCCATTTTTTAAAAATTTTAGGTTCGTATTGAAGGGCTTTACTCCTGATGGCAGGGACCTTTCTGATAAAGAAACTAAAGCATTCTTAGCTGCTGGAGATAAAGATGGGGACGGCAAAATCGGCATTGATGGTAGGTGTTCTGCCCTGGAGAGTTCAGGTTTGGCACCAGGAGACCAGATGGAAAGCAATGATGCAAAGAATGTCATGCCTTCAAATATGGTGGTTCCCACTGTCATTCTAGTGTGTGCTTGCACAGAAGAGATACCTTTGGTTTGGCTTTCTGTTAGCCAACAGAGGTTGCCTACTGTATCTTGGCATCTGCTTCCTCACTGTCTCTTCTAAGAGGCTAGTCATTCTGCATTACAACAGTATTGGATATCATTGGATCAGACAGTTAATCACACTGCAAAGAAGCAATAGAATTGCCCATTTTTTTCAGGAGGCTGACCACTAAATCTCTGCAATAGCCATTGCTCTGTGAATATTCTTTCAATGAGAAAGCATGAGTGGGGCCATAAGTCATACACTAGTACAACTATGAGCGTGATTCCACAAGGCAGGCATGATAGTATGCCGCAGCAAGGTGATGAAGAGTCAAGTGGAATCTTTAAGATTAATAGATTTACTATAGCAAGAGATTTTGTGGACATATAGCACAAGTCTATAAAAGGAGACTGAATGTCCATGAAGGCTCATGTGGTGATAAATCTATGAGTCTTATAGCTGCCACAAGACTCTTTATAAATTCACCTCTGGTTTTTGTTGTTGTTTTAAGGGTGTTGGAAAAATTACTCTTTGCAGTTATAGTTCCCAGAATCTCTTAGCCAGCATGACTACCATAAGTCCAAGGAAGTAATATTTATAAGTCTGAGTTGTTTGTGTTCTTTCATTCTTTAGTGCTTCCCAACCTTGGGTCTCAAGATGTTCTTGGACTACAATTCCCAGAAATCCTGGCCAGCACAGCTATAATGTTTCCCAAAAAATAAGACCTAACCTGAAAATAAGCCCTAGTATGATTTTTCAGGATGCTCGCAATGTAAACCCTATCCCAAAAATAAGCCCTAGTTAGGTGAAACCCTGCCCTCCACCATTGTGCAGCCACCAGAAGAAGATGATATGATTGTATTTGAATAAATGTAGATTTTTGTGCATGGAAAATACAAAACATCCCCTGAATTGTGTTTTTTGGAGCAAAAATTAATATAAGACCCTGTCTTATTTTTGGGAAAACATGGTAGTGATGAAGGCTTCTGGGAGTTTTAGTTCAAGAACATCTGGGGACCCAAGGTTGTGAGCGATTGCCTTAGAAGAAACTATTCCGGCTAGTACTCTGTTGCCTAAATATAGAACAGATGATAAGTGCCCCTCTTGTTCCTGCAGGTTCCCCACTGTGTAACCAATTGTGCGACCCATCTTGCAATCAGTGAAATGAAGGGACATGCATTGCTGTAAGCTGCCCAGAGGCCGTCGGGTAGTAAATAAATAAATAAAATTAGGGAGCTTACTGGAGAAGAGAAACGGTCATGTGATTTCTCTTCCACTCAACATTTAAGCAACAGGATAGTAGCTTCTGGGAGTAAGGATGATGTGTTGCTTCGAATTTAACTGCAGGCCTGTGTTGTCTCATGGATTCTGTGACTTATAGTCTGAAAAAGTAACCTTTATAAAGTTCTGATATATCAAGTCATACATCATCAGAAAAGAAGGTTGGGAAGCAGAACAAAAGGACATTTTTTAAGATCCCTTTTTCTATTGGATCTTCCTGGACTGCAAGTTTTTAAAGGTTTCTCACACCCTTGTAAGTTCTCATTTTGTCTTCTTTTGCCGGTGAGGCATATCAATAGAAATGCACCACTCAAGAAACTAGGGCAAACTGGTGTGCCAGAAACAGGAGCTGGCCTATGTCCCAGAACCTGCACTTCAGGTGTGCCTCTGGCCAGAGAGATATCTGTCGTGCATTTAGTGTCCTTCCAATATTCTGAAAGACAATCCCAGAGGGAGATGGAGATCAACCAAAGTGTCTCTTCGAAGCAAACATTAAGCATGCCAGTAAAAGTCAGCCTTGATGGTCGCTAGATTTATGGAGAAATTAAACAATAGATACAAGGTAGCAACAGTCACTGCAAATATTATTGTTGCCAGTTAATGATTCTAACCCTTTGCCTTCATGTTGGGATGTCAAAAGCTCTGCAGGTGCAAAAGGGCTAATCTCTCCTGGGCTGTGTTTCTCCATGAAAAGCACCAGCAATTAATTTCAATCACCTAAAACAGTTGTGTTCTAATGAGTCAAAAACAAACATCTTTTTTTAACCATGTATTGTATATCAACATTTCTGCTTGATTTCTAGGGACCTGTGCAACATTAAATTAGACAAAAATGTTCAAATGCTAGTGGATATGCTCATCTAGATATTATTTTTTTCTTTATTGCATTATTGTTCAGTCATTGCATGGATGCTATTCTGATGCTTTTCTTGATTTTTTTAAAAAAAACCCTCCAGCCATAGCATCTTGTTTCATACATAAGCCACTGTGTGGTGTACCATGCTCAAATAAAACATGTTTTCAATCAAGAGTGTGTGCACATAGGTACACAACATCACATGCCTTAAAAAGAAAAAAAGTGCATGACAGTTACAAAAAAATCAGCTATGCTTCTGCAGTATCGTCTTCAAAAACTCTCCATGAATTCAGAGAGACCCAGCAACAGCAGCAGACCCGCCTGGGTAGGTCTTTCATCCAGTGTTTTTGTCTGCCTTTATTCCAACTTCTGTGTGGAACACCTGGAGCCCTGCTTATTACAGCAGATGGACAAAAACGTTAGGAAGGATAAACCATATTTGTTTAGTTCTCAGATTGATTGGTCATGCCATAACATCAGAGCTCTAGATTTCAACCTGACAGCCGTACCAGTGGAAATTGTACTGGGTAATCCATTCCTTACGGCAATGGTCCCTAGATGTTCTTGGACTACAGCTCCCAGAAATCCCTAGCCAGCTCGGCTAGTGGTGAAGGCTTCTGGGAATTTTAGCCCAAGAACATCTGGGGTGTCAAGGTTGGGAACCACTGCCTTAAGGGTTCCCCCTACTTTTATGAGAGGATATCTCAAGGGGGTGTGAAACCAACTCACCCTGAGTCACTTTCAGTTTCTAATGCAATGCCATAAATGGCGACACTACTTTCTTTTTAGCAATTACTTCTATATCCCATCTTTCCTCCAGTGGACTCAAGGTGGCATACATAGCTTTCCTTCTCCTGACTTGATCCTTACAGCAGCTCTGGGGGATGAGTCAGAGTGAGTGAGAATGACAGGCCCAAGGTCACTCAGTGGGTCTCACAACACTGAAGGGCTTCCGCACACTAACCGCCACACCACACTGGTTTTCTGTGTTAGACTAGCAAAACTGATGAGTGGCTGGGCCTGTTTCTTTGGTGACTCTTTCTGCTTCTGGATCTTTGATCAAGTGGCTTTACACCCTTCTGGCAGCAAATATGATTGGACGGGCTCACCTTCTTCGAGAGGCAAATTTTTACATCCTATAAATTTCAGTACCCTGAAGTCAAAGCCCAAGTCACCCTGCCCTAGTTATGGCGCTGCAGGTGTGTCATGTCCCTCTCTCCACCCCAAGCAAAGTTGTCTGGACAAAAACTGGGTAAAGAGTTAGCAGCATTGTTTTTGCTGGTGGATGGGACACATAGCCTTGTAGTGAACTGAAGAAATCTGAAATTGGTCTGAGTCACGGGAAGACAACCTGGTACCTCCCATATGTTTTAGATGACAATGCCCATTTTCCCAGACCGTTTGCCCTGCTGGCTGGGATTTATGAGAGTGGCAGACCAAAAACATTTGGCGGGCGCCAGATAGCTGACTTATTACTTCAATAATATGTAAATAAGGTAAGCTAGTAAACTGACTATAGAACTAGACAAAAGAAAAAAAAACAAAGAACAGACTTTTGAGCTGGCAAGCTTTAGAACTTTAAACTTAACGCTTTAAGTATTTACTCCGGTAATGTATGTGTGTGTGTGTGTGTGTGTGTGTGTGTGTGTGTGTGTGTGTGTGTGTGTGTGTCTATGATCAATGGAAGTTTTAGGCAAAAAAAATTAAATGGTGCCACACTTGCCAAGCAAATAAGTGAGTTGAGAATCCAGAGCCATGCTGGATCTCATGAAACTGAAATGATGAGGATGGTACAGGACAGGCTGCATGGCACACAATGCTCTTGCATCTAATACTTTATCTCTCAACAACATCTGATGCCTGAAGAAGCTGCCTCACTCTTCCTAGTGGGAGGGTCGGCTTTGTCCATGGTGCATGGTTTCCGTTGACTTTCCCTCTCACCTTGATCTCTCCTCCAGAATTTGCAACCTTGGTGGCTGAATCATAAAGGCGTTGACCAATCTGAACCCTCCATCTACCCTTGACCGCCAGATTTCAGCTGTTTTCTGCTGACCTCCTTGGTTCCTCTTCTATTTATTTATGTTGTTTTATACTCCAGCTCTGTTCTCTGCAGCCCTGAAACTCTGTAATTGTGCTGAAAGATGCTGTTAAAATAATAAAGGTCACATCAATCTGGGCTCCATTCTCTCTGCCTTTCATATGCGCCTCATTTTCACTGTGGCTTGAAAAAAGTAGGATGGAAGGAGCTAAAACTGGGATCAGGTTGGGGAATATGTATTTTCCTTGCATCTTCAGGTACCCACCCCCCCACCCCACCCCCCTGCACTGCACTAATGACAGAACCATTTAGCAAAATTGCTTCAGCAGAAATATGTGACTGGTAAATAATTCAATCTTATCTTACTACTTTGAGGCAAAACTGATTTTGTCCTTAAAGTCTCCTGGTTTGATGGAAGCACACACGAACACGCACCCATGCACACACACATGCCTTTGACAAATTGCTAGTGATAGCAAGAACACAACTTCATTTGGGAGCCAATTCCTTTGATTTCACTTTCCTTGAAGCTTTTTTTAAAAGATCTTAATAGAATGGGTAACCTTAGAATTTTTGTCAAAATTTGTTTTTACTGCTCAGTGAGGCTTTCCATATATCCAGCGAGTTATGTTTTCCAAAAGCAGAGAGAGATTTGAACAAAAGGCCATATAACTGTATCCACATGTCAGTCAGACTCAAAGACGTCTTCACAAATAGCTGTAATGCTGTCATTATCAAGGATGAACAATACTGTGCATCTATCAGCAGTGCTGGCCAGTCATTTGAAATGGGGAATAGAATTATTTGTTGTAGCTTGAAGAAATCTAGGTGATTAGAAAGGAAATAACTTCACTGAGATCTCTATACCACTAGTAATGCTCCTGCACTATACAGAAGATTGCAGGATTCTTCTAATTTTCAGAAATTAATTTGATATCTATCTTAAATCTGAATCAATACAATGGCTGCTTTTCAGGCTGAAAACTCTCTTTAGATTCTTATTGGGGCCTGTGCAATTTTTCTACAGGAAAATACATGGACTTTTTAAAAAGGAGATTTTTCAACTTCAGAAATACCTCATTAGATCCATCCTTTCAATAGCCAAACATAAAGCATGCTTTGATCCCTGTTTGCCATCTTCATCAGAGATGGTGTCTTCATCAGAACCCACACTTCTTATGTGCTATGCAGAAAGAACTTGTTTCTTAATGTGCCTTAGCTGGGTAATAAAATTACATGCCTATTCCTACTAGTGCATCAAATGTATCTTCCCAAAATGCACTACTTCTCAAACACTGCTTCTTCCCATCCCCAGGGTCATAATAATAACTGGATGCTTTTCAAGGTACTGCAAGAGTTTGTGGTTGGTGCATGCTCATGCTGTTATAAATTTCCATTCCAGTGCTGTTTCCCCAAAAGAAAACATGTCTATGTTTCCTGCTTGTCCAATTGTACACACGTCCACTTTCCAAATGCACCTCTTGTGTTACTTGTGCATTGTATAAATGTTGTTTCCAGAAATTTAGAAGGAAGAATTATCCCAATCTCTCATATTACCATTTTCCATAACAGAGCAACGAACAGGTATTTCTAGCTCCAATATCTCACCAACCATACAATCCTCTGTTTGAGTTACTTAATATTTCTCCTGACACAGCATTGTGGCTTAATACCAAGAGTATGACTATTGAACAGGAGCCACTAGCGTGGAAACTCATAATCAAGCAGAAAAGGGCAAAAAATGCACGTTACTGTTTCAGGAAATCCATTCAGAGATAGAGCAAGAGGAAGGGATTGTATCTCACTTACAAAAACCTCTTTCATACATGTGGATCTACTGATAGGCATTATGGAGACTCTGGTTGTAGCTCCTCTACCAATGGCAAACAACATGTATTCACCTTTAGAAAAGGGAGTAGGAAGGAAGTGAACCTAAGAGCAGCAATGTACGTACCAGTAAGGTAGACACAGAAAAGACAAGAAGGGGAAGATATTTGGGTTTATGCTACTGTCTGTCACCCAAATTAAGTGAACACAAGAAAATTTCAGGCCCTTTTGTTTCTATTTGCCTAGATTCTGAGTTGTCAAAAGTGCTCTGCTATAAATTAGCCATTATGTTAAATAAGTTATGGTGCTGTGTATCAGCTAAAATGGAATGCATGCTTTCTCCAGAGGCTGTTCCCCTCCTTTGTACTTTACTCTTCTCATAGGATGGTCCTGGCAACTTAAGATATTGCAATGCCTCCTCTTTCATACCATCTTAGAATCAAAGTTTAAGGATGCAGCTACACAGCAGGGAAAATATGCTTGTATCCACTGTTATCCAGATTGTTTCAAATTGGGTTTCCAAGGGTGAAATCACTGTAGGTGTCCAAACATCAGTCAGTTTGCAGTCAATCAGGAGGGGCAGAGACAGAGAGCTGTATTTGCTCAGCAGGAACTGCCTTTGACAAGGTGATAATTGTGAATTTCCACTTGTTTTTTCTCCCTTAATTTACTTTCCCTAAAGTGACCTAGCAATATGATGTAGAAGTGCTGCCTTGAAAGGCTTTAAAGAAAACTCTCTTTGCAGAAAACAGGTGTGCAATAGAAGGAAACCTGTTTTGCCTTCAGATCAAGCCAGCACTGTTGGCAGAAATCTGATAAGAACATATCTAAACCACCTCTCCCGGCTGAACATGCTTAGGCAAATTACTTTTTTTGGACTATAACTTCCAGAATCCCCATCAGCACTCTTGTACATCATAGTGAAAAAGAAAAGAAAAAAAGTAACTTCCACATTCTGATTCAAGTATTGGCATTATTTTATTACTACTCCTATTCTCTCCTATTTCCCAGCTGTCTCATTTTTCAAGTGTGTGTAAGCTTATTTTAGTACAGATCTCATTTCATTTTTCAATATCTTAAGCAATTACTGCAGAGCTAGTCTACGTAGCCATGTCAGTTCTCTTATTTGTTGTATTGAGAAATTCTCTGTCCATTCTCATATAAACAGATTTATCCTTGGCAACAAATGGCTTCAATACTTCCTGTTGATTTAAAAAATGGCTGCTTATGAAGCATTAGTTATCTGTAAACCGAGGGTGACGCCACTCCCTCAGATGCAACTGTAAAGTTTAAGCAAGGTTGCCAGCGCTTAGCTATGTCATTGTGTTTATTAAATCCCATATGTAATAACGCAGAAGTATAGACTGCACTGGCTGAGATCTAAGACACTCCTGGCCAACCCAAGATATTCTCCTCATGGAAGAAAAGCGCAAGATGGTGACCTTTCCTGTTCTACTTACAGGAGCGAGTGAATGGTGATTCTTACTATAAATCTTGCAATGAGACCACGAGTTCCACTACATCTTTAGGCAGCTAGCTAGTTTACAGGGTTTGGGCACAGCGCTGTATTGGGCCCCCAAGTATCCAGGGAACTACCATGCTTCCTTGGACTTCCAGGCAGGGGTGACCAATTTTGGTGTGACCACTGCTAAAAGATGCAAATATTTATTTTGGTGGTCCATATAAGGTGCCTTTAAACCTGGGCATCCCTCTCTACCCATTCCCAGCTAGCACTGAGGCTCATGGGCTGATGCTTGTGTAAAAGTGGTGCATCAAAAAATTAGGAGCAAGGATGGGTAGTGGAATGTTAGTGGGTCCTTTTCTTCTGCCTGTTTCCACAATCAGTTGTCCCAACCCACTACCTAAAACATTTTCCTAGCTCACCTCTGTGGCGTCACAACAGTTCACCTCTGGTGTCTAACCTGACATCTCATGGAATGGGATCCTGCTGATCTGGCAGCCCTAGCCCTGTCCTTTCTGACACTTCCCCGCCATTCTTTTCTTGGCCTCCACATCAGTCTCTGCTCCCTGAAGCTGCCATTTCACTTTGCTTAATGGCAAGGCCAGACTTTTTCATACTGTATTTTGTGATCCAGCAAGGTGGACCCTGCAGCAGGAGGTGTCATGAGCATGGCCTGGAGAAACTCTGCTTTGTCGTGAATTGAATGCTATCGTGGAATTGGTTTTGGCCCTAATATAGGTATCAGTATCACCCACCCACCCCCATGGATTTTGTTTTACTTTTATGGATCAACTTGTCGTGAATTGAATGCTATCGTGGAATTAGTTTTGGCCCTAATACAGGTATCAGTATCACCCCCCATGGATTTTGTTTTACTTTCATGGATCAATAGGGCTACTGCTCTTTTTACATTTATGCCGCCTTGGGTAAGTCATCTTCCCTTGGCTTAACCTACACATGCTCAGAAAATGTCATATTTTAGATTACAGTTTCAGGAATACCTCAGCTACCTTGGGCCACAGTCATATTGGCAAAGGTATTCTGGAAATTACCATCCAAAAAAGGAACTTTCCCAGCTCTGCAAATAAGCCAATAAACTAGCAAGTGAAGCTTTGTGTAAGGTGTTCACCTGTCACACAGAAAAACAGGACTGAGTTTATCTACTTCTTTCACCTCTTCCATCAAATTCATGTAGCTCGGCTTCACTGCCCTTGACAGTCACATCAAACAGGTGCTTCTACAGGAGGTGAGGCCCAGTCATTGTCACCCTACCTATGTGGGCTTCCACTTTTCCATCCACTTTACAATCCTGATCACGCAGGGTTCAAAGTCTTATGGGAGTCTGCAGAGATATAGAAGGCCCTCAGCTGTGGGTATTTACCCTCCAGTGCGTGGGAGACAATGACGCTGAGAGAAGTGGTGTGTTAGAAAGGAGGAAGGGCTGACAGATGTGACCCCACTCACTCTTTTAACAGGATTCCAATACATAGAGGCAGAATATCTGAAATAGGGCTCTACATACTGAAAGGGACAAGGAGAAGGAGGAGGGAAGTATTTTAAAAGGGCAATAAAAGCAAATTAAAATACCAGACATCAAACAAGACTTACATTTTTTTTTTTAAAAAGTCTTCCTCCTGTACTTGAAAAGACATCAATGTAAGGCAGAGCTAGCCGAAGCCATTTTGCTGTCTGAGGCAAAATACCAAATGACATCTCCCTGTCATCTCCTAGAAGACAGCAGTACTGGACTGCCTTGAAACGTACCACTAAATGTTAGGCATACAACTAATTGAGATCAGGTTAGGCTATATATTTGGCTTAACTTTGTCTTTCAAAGGGCAGCAACCGG